ATTTTTATTATTATTTGGATTATTATTATTACAATCAATTAGTTTATCACATTTTACTGTTGGACTTTTTTCAAGCTTTTTTTGGTTTTTATGCATTTTTGGTCTCTCCTAAACAAAAAACTATACCAAAGCTCTTCATCAAATAGGATACTTTTTTTTTAAGCTTGGCTGAATAGTTGTATAAGTAATTAATTATACTGTGTATTTGTTATCGTTTATGAAAATTATATTGTATGCTGCGACTTCTATCATTGTTTCATTTTAATCAATAAAACTGTGAAATGTACAGCTTATGTACGTTTTATAAAGTGCACAAGTGAATGTTAATTAATATTATAATTATTTTATAATACATTTTTGTTATAAAATTATAATTATTTCGCATGTGTTACTTTTTTAAATCTTTTCTTTGTAGGTGGTGTTAATTTTTCTGCAAACATAAATAAAAATTAAAGAAGGTGATCCGTCAATACGCATGAAAAGTCAAAAAATCACGCATGTTTGGAATGACATGAAAGGAAATTAATAGAAAAATTAGAAAAACAGTTTTTTGCAAGATCGATGTATTTTGTAACATAATTTTAGGCTTACAGTTAGAAGAAAAATGATGATGTTTATGTAACACACGTGATAAAGTTGATAAAAAAAGATAAATATATTCTGTCTGTTGAAAATTTAAGTATTAAAAAGAAATTTTAAACGCAGTCGAGGTGTTGTTCCAGACTTTGCTAAATATGTTGTAGAAGAAATATGTATCTAGAATAATATTTCTCCCTCTTAATCAGTACTCTTTCAGACGTTCATTATCCAATAACATTGATTTGTACGTGTAATAAGTTCAATTTTTTTTACCTATGAAAAAAAAAAGAAAAAAAAATCTAAAATAACCCTTAGGTTTTACTTAAAACTATTAATTTTGAATTTCAGATTACTACAAACGATTGGGTCACCACGTGTGTCCGGATTGCAAGAGAGAATACCGCTGGCTTCAATCATTGATACGTCACAGAACTCACGAGTGTGGTGGAAAGACACCACAGCATATGTGCAGCTGGTGCCCCCAACGATTCCGACACCACTGGCAGCTCAAAAAGCACCTAACTACGACGCATTTGCACATATATTTTAACAATAGAAAATGAATCCATTGAATTTGTCTCGTTTGTGCAGAAATTTGAGAACAAATTATCATTCGTAGCTGTATTCCGAACCGAAACGATCATTTTTCACATTTGTAGAAGACTGTAAGATATGTGAAGCAAAAATGATTGTAAGTTAACGTGATTCTAACAAATATTGAATAGTCTTAAATCAGGCATATTGTAAGTTTAATTTATAGCGTGAAAAAAAAGCATTTACAAGTGAATTATAAAATAGTATAAAAAAGACTTAAATTTATAATTTTTTCTTGGTAACATTACGATTAATGATGTATTTTTCTTTCTGTTCACAGAAATCAGCAATTATTTTTGAGAAAAGAAGTAATTTTTGGTGATGACTTAACATCCAGGAGCTATCAAGCCAGCACGGCTTCAGGCCACCTCGCTCATATTTTTGAGCACTAAATTGAACCAAATAATCCATCACCCTAGGATTCTACCTGTCAGTATTAATGTATAATACAATATAAGGGAGAGCACCTACATTCAAGTAGTTCAAAACCATATAATCCCATACTCTGAGAGTTACATCAGGTTTTGTGTGATGATGATAATGCCAAAGTATTATTAGTACCAGGATGATTGAAAAACTACGAACAGCATAGTTGCATACAGCATACGACCTTTCGTATTATAGGTATACTTCATTATTAGGCACATCATCAACATAGTAATTAAAACATTTTTTTTTGTTTCAAAAAGGTTTCTTTCCAATATTACTCTCAGTACATTACTCAAATCTCAGGTAACAAAATATTTAACATTTGAAAAAAAAGGTGGCTGTTAATTAAATACGTTCCATTAAATTCATGAAAATAAATAGCATTAATAATAAAGGGTCTAAATAATAATAATTAGGTAAATGGGATAAAACTGACAAAAACAAAATTTTGACTCCATTTTTTTTCTTTCTTTTTTTTTTTTTTTCTCGGCTAAGGAACCAAAAAAACTAAGAATTTATAAAATTGCATTTTGAACTAACAAATACATAGGAATTTTTCTTAATTTTTAGCGCTAAATTCAAACTTGTGGAGACGTTTGAAATTAAAAAAAAAGTTATTAGAAATTTTTTTTAATTACCATGAATTATTCCATAATTTTATAAGTAGCGGANTAAAAAAAAAAAATAAATAAATAAATAAAAGTTTCAGCTAAGCGAAACAAAAAAACCTCCGCCTGTTGCAGAGCTGCCATACGATCCGTTTTACCTAGGCCAATTGGATCCGATGCTGATGTACAGTGTATCGCAAACGGCGCACGGCACTTACATGTGCAATACCTGTTGTAAAGAGTACACTTGGAAGAAGTCGCTGCTGCGCCATTTGCGCGAAGCCGAGTGCGGAAAGAACTTCAAGTACAGCTGTCAGCTGTGCAACAAGCAGTACAAGCGACGCGATGTTCTCAATCAGCATATGGCGTCGGCTCACTCGCGAGTTGATGGAAATGTCTGTTAATCGACAATTGGTTGTGTGATTTTTTTTTTTTTTTTTTTTTTTTTTTAATTGAAACCAACGGTGAAGAGGTGGACTTTTCTGAGCTCAAGTCCCCATTTGTATTATAATATCAAATGTATACATTTTGTACTCTTTCGAATTTCATTGTACCTGGTGTCTCTGTACAAGTCGAACATTGATTTACACGACTAATCACTTGATTTGTGATGAGTAACAAGCTCAGACAAATTTTATTTATCATCAGGTCGATGAAAATCCAAAAATGCAATCAAATCTGTTACCAGTGACTCGATGTCATGTATATACATATATAATAAAGGTTTTGCTATTATTACGAAAAACAAGTGTAAAAGTTGCCAAAGCTGCTTTCATTCCTACTTAACTCGTTTACGATTCCTCCAAATTTTAAGTTTACAAATCGATGGAAAATAAATAGTAGCACTGACGCAACGTTTTTTTATTTGTTTCAGGTAAAGTCGGATATTGCAGTTTCACTTGCCTGAAGTGCATGTACTGTGACAAGAAATACGTGTCGCGCAGTGCGCTCGACAGGCACATTAAAAAACGATGCATCGCTAATCCACTATTGATCAGCAAAATTTATGGAAAAAAAAAGGGCAGCTACGTTAACTGGTGGAAGCACTAAAAAACCTGCCATTTATCCATTTACAAAAGATGAAGACATTTTTTGGCTTGATGCCTTGTGTAGTACGCGTGTAATGAAATGAATAAAGAAATCATCTAAAACCTCAACGTGATAACAAAATTTTTTGGATCAATGCATATTAAACAAAATTTCAGTGTTTTTACATTTTTTAAAAAGCTTTTTAAAAAATTAGAAAAAAAGCAGCTTTTTTTTAAATCACAATTAACAACTACAGCGCGCTAAAAAGGATTCGTTCTAAAAAAAGCATAAAATTCTTGCTGTTGCAGGTTACCACGAATCGTTGATAGCGACGGAAGACAACCGCAAGTACGTCTGCGTTTGCGGCCGCAAGTACAAGTGGAAAGAGTCTTTCCGTTTGCATCAACGTGTGGAGTGCGGACAGCCTAGACGTCACGTTTGCCTGTGTGGCAAGAAATTTAAGCACAAGCACCATTTGACGAATCACATGTCGTCCGTTCACAAAATGACCACGTTTTAATGTATTTAATCCAACTGAATAACAAAGTTTTATAGGCGACGGTTTATTAGATAGAGTTTATTGTGTTTGTTTACTAGTTTTCGTTCTCTGAGTGTAGAATTTTATAGTTCTTATCATTAATAAATCAATGTAAACAATTAATACTGTGCAATTTACGCTTTCGTATGTTATTATATCTATTTCGTTTCTTTTTTAACCAATGGATGATTTTCAAGACACGAAACACTTTGAGCTTTATAAATATATGTAACATATACTTTTTTTCCCCATTCGTTGTCGTCCAAATTGATAAAACAGCGCGGAAATTTTTACTTTCAGCGCAGAAAATGTATCCTTGCAAAAGTTGCGGAAAAGCGTACTCTAGAAAATCCACGACTTACACGCACGAGCGGATTTGCGGGGGAGAGCGGAGGTTCGCTTGCAACCGGTGCGGCAACACCTTCAAGCTCAAGCATCACTTGATGAAGCATTTACTCTCGACCAGATATTGCCAGCAAAGGAATTACGCAACAAACTACGAGTTTCCTATTTAATTGAGCGCAAATCGGCCGTTTTATCACATCATAAACGTATTTTTATTGTCATCAATTCACACTCCCATCGTTAAAACTGTAGTTTAGAAGATGCTCTTTAATAAATCGACATAACGAAACAAAACATTATTTTTCAAGTTAATCACAAAAAAAACCCTCCGAGAAATTTTCTAATGTGAAATTTCAACCCGCAAGTGATGCACACGCTGATGAAAGTATTCGGAACTATTACCCATTACTTCTATTGAATTAAAAACTCTGAAGAAACGATTGGTGTTCACGACTTTTTTTTCTTTCTTTACCTACCTGATTTCTAATTTTTTTGAAGTTAACTAAATTTTTTTCACTCAGCCGCCTAAAGTTTGAACTCGTATATTTTTTCATGGGTTATGATTCGGATTACTCTCACAACAAAAACGCCACTTGTGGGTCAGAAGCTCATCCTTTCTTTCTTTTTTTTTTCCTTTTACTCTAACAACATAACATGTACAGATGCATACATTATTTTAATTTTTATTAATTCATTTATTTGTTTATTTTTATTTTTGAATAACTGAAAATAAAACCACCAGAAATATCGATATGAACAATCATAGTCAGACCTGTATATCATTTTTCAGCGCAAAATTTGTTTCCCTGCAAGATTTGCGGAAAATCGTACGCCAGAAAATCTTCCACTTACACGCATGAGAAGGCCTGCGGAAGGGAACCTCAATTCGTTTGTCTGCTGTGCGGAAAAAGGTTCAAGTACAAGCATCGGTTGCAATCGCATTTGACATCCAATATACATTCGCCGAGGTACAAATAATAATAATTAATGCGTTGGATGGCTCATTTTTTGTTCTCATATTTTTATCAAAATCACTTGTAGCTCTTGTTATTTTTTTTTCTGTATTGATGTGGCTCTTTTTCCACGCTAAACTTAATTTTTACGATAACTTAATTTAAATTATCAACAAAATCATATTATACACTCAAACTATAGTATTACTACTGTTTAAGACAAAGATATTGCTACGCATTCGTGTTTTTTAATATTTTTTATACAGAACCATTCAATAAGATAAAATAATAAATTATACCTGTAGCACGTGTTGCAGTCGTTTTAGAACAAACGACACAAGAGATCAAAGGGTTTTTTAACAAATAACGGGATTTGCGTAAATAAAAAAAAAAAAAATATTTTTTTGTAAAAGAATATTTGTATAACTTTTTAAAACTCAATAAAAATTGTTGTTATTAGACGGAAAACGTTTTACTTTTTCGATAATAATACACCCTTACCATATTAAAGTATGCAAAAAACAAAGATGTAATCGTACTAATATGACAATAATAAATTCTGTTTCAGGAAAACCATGTCTGTGCATTGATTGTGTGTCGAAAGTATCGAGTAAAAAAAAGTCACTGCAGATACACTCACGAGTAAATTTGATACGCTATCCAGATGTAAATGTCCCATTTATTACAATTTTCTTGCGCAACCACACTACGCCCAGCAAATGCATTAAAAAAGCGTCACATTCTAATATATATTTGTATTTGTTTTTTGTGCAGCATAACTCGTCGCACAAACTTCAATATTGCGCATGAAGAAGAAAAAAGCAATGTACATGGAAATAAAAAATAAAAATATTCAAACTACGATATTAAATTGTATATATAAATATGTTCAGCTTACAGGGTGGATAAGGTAAACTCCCCCTTCCCCCCATTTATATCGATCATTCCATGACACGCATATATATATATATGAGCTTGGTTTTACTTCACAATCAATAATAACAATAACAACGTTTCACGCGGTCCGCAGTTCATATCTTTTTCCACTAAAGTACTTCTCGTTTTGTTTCTCAGGTCGCGTTCCGGTGTTTCGTTTTCCGCGAAAGCAATCGTTGAAAGGTGCCGCCTACCAGCAACAGAGACGCGGATATCACCATAACGATCGCCCCCACGTTTGCCCGGCATGCAATAGTCGCTTCAAGAGAAGATATCACCTCAATCGTCACATGATATCCACCTGCAAAATCGAATTCCATAACATGTGATTCGCATCTTCGTTGTTAACTTTACCCTGTATCTTTTGGGCTTTGGGTCTCTTTGCGTGTATTTTTAAGTCAACACTGTTTGGACAAATCGATCGTCGCAGATTGCACGATTTTTATTGTCAACTACTTGTATCTTGTATGTTTTTCTCTATTTGAATTTTTATTTATCATGTTTCGTACGTTTCGATTGGATTGACGAAATAAAACCGCTTCAATGAAGAACTTTAGATTCATTTTTTTATGATCACTGCGACCCTGTTGTTTTTATCTTTAGTTTGCCACGGGTTATTATTCGACATCACCTATCACCTTTGAACTTCATTATCGATTCTAAATCAGCACAATTATGTCAAAACCAATGTAACATTTGTATGAAAAAAAATGGCATAAGAAATGTTTTTCGTATTAAATAAAGAAAAAAAAAAAACAAAAACCTACATCACTGTTTGCATCGAAAAAAACTCCAAGTAGTACTTAATTCACAAAAAAAAAAACAAAACAAAACAAAACCAGTGTGTGCATTACATAGTATACTATATGCCTGTACATGATTACCAGTAGCTCCTAGAACCCTCGTAAATATAAGCCTCCAACGCACCGCACTCGCAAACCCAAGACCAAAAAAAAAAACAAAAATAACCCGCTGAAAATCTGCCTAAGTATGTGCGCCTAGAAAATCACCTAGACAAAGCAGGCTAGTGTTTTAGTGCAGCAAAGGAAAAAAAAAAAAAAAATGTGCACGAGAAAGAGAGACACACAAGCCGGGCTCTGCTTTATTATTACAGGTAGTAGTCGGCGTCGTCGACGTCAACGTATCTCCGCGTACAACGCAAACGACCATCAGCAGCAGCAGCAGCAGCAGCAGCAGCAGCCGCGCGTCATCCACAAGTGCGACGCGTGCGGAAAATGTTACCAGCTGGCCACGTCTTTGAAGCGACACGTGCGCTTAGGTAGGTCCAAATATATATATTTCACGCAATTCGAATGCCTTGGTTGAATATTAATTAAACATTTTTTTTTTTTCCCCCATGCGTTTGATCGATCTCGTAGAGTGCGGCTTAGAACCACGGCAGGGCTGCAACTACTGCGGCAAACGATTTACCCACAGGTTCAAGCTTACCCACCACATGTACTCGTGTTGGCGTAAACGCGAATTCGACGAGGCTGCCAAGCGCCGGGGTGGCTGACCAATTGAACGACCGACGCGGCTGAAGTAGTAGACAGCAAATATAAATACTTATGTGGTAGTTGCGCAGGGGCTAACAATTCCTTTCGTGTCCGACTTTAAGTATTTCTCGAATGCTGTTTGATGGTCGTTTCGATATTCGTCCAAAGAACGACTTTTCACTTTGCTACGGGTAAGTGGAAACCTGCCTGTGGTCACGGACTTTGGTAGAATTACCAAGACTTCGGAGTCGTGAGCCCCTTCGCGTGTAGGCTCCCTTAGGAAGGCGAAAGTAGACAATAAACAACTAATTTAGATTAGCTGATACTACATAGTCTAAAATGATGTTGAAAGACGTGTGTGCGATATTTATGATGCATGCACACACATATATATATACACACCTTTGGACTTGATGGGCACAATTATTTTACGGATTTTCGAGTACTTTGGAAGGAAATTATTTTCCCAAAAAGGAAATGTAATGTTTTTGCAAGACAATTTTTTTTTTTATCACTGCTTGTGACATAGTATTTGATCAAATAAAAAATAGAAATAATAGAAAAAGTTCTACACACGTTGAGAAAATGAAGTTTATTGTCAAGTGTGTCAACAAGTAAGTAAAATATGACTCAGTTTTTACCAAATTTTTTTTTTCTATCAAAATAAAGCATCGTGTTGTAAGCATCAATAAAAAAAATGTCTGGCACAAATTTTGCACAATACTTGCGAAAGTAATTATGCCCATGTTTGAACACACTTAGAGATTTTATTCGCCTGTTACATACTAGAAAAATTATTCTTACAGTCGTAAAGAGCTGGTTACAAATTAATAGTCGAGAGTTTATGAAAAGCATAAAACCAATAATGGATGTATATTAACTGTTAAGTACGATACATGCTTTTAATTAGGTATTTTCAAATATGATTTAATAAAACATAATTTTTTTGTTAAGTTGGTTTTAAAGTTTATATTTGAAATGTTGGATTTATGTGTTACTTGTTTTATACACTTTTATCTGTCAAAATTCATCAATATTTCTATAAATTTTTATATTTTTCAAAAGGTCAGATNGTGCCGTATTACAAAAACCCCCAGCCGGTTGTCCGCTGCGTCGATTCCAACACTTCAATGGAGAAAAAGCACATCTGCGACCGCTGCGGCAAATCGTATCGGGCTTCGACTTCCCTCTCGAGGCACAAGAGGCTGGAATGCGGAGTGTTTCCCGCGGAAGTTTGCAGAATTTGTGGCAGACGTTTCAGGCACAAGTTCGTGCTCAAGTCGCACTTGCTCACCTGCAAGCGGAAAAACGTCGCCATGAGATGAATTTCGAGGGACGAAGAAAGAACGCTCTAGAGTAGGAATCTCTACACTTCGATTCGCGATCTGTATACCGTGAAATCGCGATCGCTCACCATCTTCGTTTATTTTAATATTTTTACGCTAGGCTATTCCGAAATTTTACATTGTTTATTTAGGTGATAGTACTGTACTACTTTTTTTTGTACATAATGCGACAATAAAATTAATTTTAATGTGAGTTTCCATGCAGTAGTTGTTATAATCTGGCGTAGCACGTACCGTTTTTAATCGTACCATTTTTTGTCGCTCATCAATTAAATCGTCGCAAGTAAGAATTAAAAAAAAAAAAAATGAATTAGATAATGTTATTTATAGCTGTAACTGTGGTGCACTTTTATTTGTATGTTAGTAAAAGTTACTTTTAAATAAAATTATTTTTGAATAACGTAAAAATCGTGGGGTTAAATTATTACCTCCTTTTACTTGCAGTTCTATGAATTTTTTTTCCACCAGCACTTTTCATTTTCTCACTTAGTATTTACGAAAATTTTTAATTTTTAATTTCAATTAAACAACTCAATTTTTTTAGATTAGAGTAGTATTGAAAAGTAGTGAATCTAAAAGATGCCGAAAAAAAGTGAGCTACTAATCATTTAAGGCCATGTTCAATGACATTTTTTCACAATTGATAAATCCTAGACTTAACATACGATTGAAGATATAGTTGACGTTAAAAATGATTTTTAACGTTTAACTAAAAATTATCATACCATACCTGAGATATTTTATTTAAAATTTTCATGTCATAACCATTTCTGAGCTTTACATTCAAAGATACCTACTTTTGTTATTGAATTTGACTAAGATTATTTCAAAGCATCGTACGTTAAAATCTTTTTTAAATGACCAAAAAATGATCCGTATTTTTTGTAAGACATAGTAATCCTAGAATTCATTTTAATTACCTCACAAGTGTAGATATGTTTCTTGTCCTTTGATTTTACTTAACTTTGTTACATTTAAAAACTTTTTAATCTTTATGCATATTTATAAACATCGTAAAAATACGTAATAGTTTTTTAAATTAATTTTTCTCTTTCTCTATGAAACAGTAAAAAAATAATTCTGTATCTGCTTGTTCTCCGAGTATGAATTTTTTTATTTATTTATTATTATTTTTTTTTTCAATTGACCAATGTTTCAATAAAAGAGAAAATGCTAGGTATAGACTATAGAAAATATGTATGATGTGGACTTTAAAAAAATATTTTTGTTTATTTTCATGTTACAAGATGCATAAAGAAAAAATTATTTATTTTGTATTACAGTGTTAGCACCTTACAATATTTTAATTCTCCCTAGTTAAAAAATAACTTGATTTAATCTGAATTGATCAAATTTGTAATGGTTTTAAATAAAGTATATTACAATAATGATCTGAATATGTTTTGTTGATAAATGTTAAAAAATTAATGTACTTTATATCTTTTTACAGAAACCAGCACTTGTTTTTAGAAAATGGGGTAATGTTTGACGGGAACTAATGCCAACAAGAGAAAATTATTTGTTTCTAGTATTGTTCGATGTATTTATGGTTTTAATTTTATTTTAGGTCTGCAGTTGGGAGTGATGATGTTCATGTAACTCATAATCAACTGCATAAAAAAGGTACGATTTTCTTTCCAAGTGCACAAAAAAAGAAAGCAATAATCAAAAATCCACAACAATATCAATACATGCTTACAAGATTTATTTTTATGTTTACAAAATATATCGAAAAATAAATAAATATTCACACAATAAAAAATTTCTCCCTCCTTATTACTACAATTTTAAAAGCTCAATCAGAAAACATGAATTTTTTATTTCAGATCACTACAAACTAATAGGCAATGACGTTGGTTCAAAAAGCAGTACGACTAGAAGTAGCCACTGATTCGTCACAAATGGCAAATCAATAAACTACCAACTACAGTGCATTTGCACATATATTAAAAAATGTGAATATAAATCAATTGAAATTATCTCGTTAGTACAGAATTAGAAGAAAAAATTACTCGTTACTGTATCAAGAAAAAACCCATTATTTTTTACGTTGGTGGTTTAGTTAACGATTCGACGACCGTACAAACAAAGCTGATTCTTCCACCCTTGATTTCTGCGATCAAGCGACCTTTCATGAATAACTTTGAATCATTTGTACAGGCTGGCGAATATTTCAGTGATACATTACCTTGGAGCAACAGAAATCGTCCTCGACTTTGACGATTGGTGCGACGGTATTGCCTATTGTAGAGGTAAATAGTCTCTGCCAAAAAGCAGTTAAAACATGATTTAGTAATTGTTACCCTTTGCACGTAACACTGGCGCTCTATCAAAAATTAAATAATTGAAACCATGTTTTCATGTTGTTGTCATCTTTGTAAGCTTCAGAGGTGCAACTTTAATATATAATCCTGCCTTACAACATCTACAGCGAAGTACTTGGTGCAATGAATGAACATAAAGTCAACACCACCAATTAAAAAAAAAAATTATTCCAAATACATTTTTCAGTAAAAACATCATCGTCACTGAATCGTTATGAGGGTTTAAAAAATGTATTATACAGAAAGACATCGGCTTTGTACTGTAGAGAGAACAGACAATGAAGATACTTTATGTCATATTCTTTGCTAAATTATTAAAAATATAATTGAGTGGGTCATGCGTTTGAAAGATGCCTTCGTAAATATTCATTACTTACTAATTAATATAGTAACAAATAGTTTTATTTTACATTAATTAACTCTTATATCAGTGAAACGGCAAATAAGCACGATGTCCCATGTGGTGATAGTGGAAAGGGAGTGATCACACAAAGTATTTAATTGTTGGAAATCATTATTAATTTAGGAATATGTAATAATAATATATTATTAAAGGTCCTGTGACGATTACTGTAGTTGAATATATACATATATATATTTTGAATTCACAAGTATGTTACGATTGTCTGAAATATACGAATTTTACAGTAATTAATTATTAGCGTAGAGTAAAGTGAACAGTCATTGCTACAATAATAAAAATAAACTGCATTCACTGAAAAAGAAAAAAACGAAGTTGTTAAAAAAAATGTTTTTAATCCCTGTTAGAATAGTAACATAATTTGCGTATTTATGTGAAAATGTCTCCAATGAAATAATTTTTTCAGTAAATATCAGGAGTTTTGCGATAATTGTTATTTTCATTATTTACTTTTGATTTGACAACATTTTTACCTTCAGTTCTACAAATTTTTTTTCCCACTTCCGCGGGACCTCGAAAATATTTCATCAGCGAACCCACCGGTACTTTTCACTTCCCCATTAGTTATTTCACAAAAACTTCCAAAGTCTTCTCAATGAAACGAACAATCAAATGACACCAAGCCAAATGTGTTTTTTCTAACGATCGATTTTCCTGAAAATTTTAGGTATTCTGAGCTCGCTCCTGCTGCCGTCGTCTGGAGAATTAGTGCCGTATTACAAAAACCCCCAGCCGGTTGTCCGCTGCGTCGATTCCAACACTTCAATGGAGAAAAAGCACATCTGCGACCGCTGCGGCAAATCGTATCGGGCTTCGACTTCCCTCTCGAGGCACAAGAGGCTGGAATGCGGAGTGTTTCCCGCGGAAGTTTGCAGAATTTGCGGCAGACGTTTCAGGCACAAGTTCGTGCTCAAGTCGCACTTGCTCACCTGCAAGCGGAAAAACGTCGCCATGAGATGAATTTCGAGGGACGAAGAAAGAACGCTCTAGAGTAGGAATCTCTACACTTCGATTCGCGATCTGTATACCGTGAAATCGCGATCGCTCACCATCTTCGTTTATTTTAATATTTTTACGCTAGGCTATTCCGAAATTTTACATTGTTTATTTAGGTGATAGTACTGTACTACTTTTTTTTGTACATAATGCGACAATAAAATTAATTTTAATGTGAGTTTCCATGCAGTAGTTGTTATAATCTGGCGTAGCACGTACCGTTTTTAATCGTACCATTTTTTGTCGCTCATCAATTAAATCGTCGCAAGTAAGAATTAAAAAAAAAAAAAATGAATTAGATAATGTTATTTATAGCTGTAACTGTGGTGCACTTTTATTTGTATGTTAGTAAAAGTTACTTTTAAATAAAATTATTTTTGAATAACGTAAAAATCGTGGGGTTAAATTATTACCTCCTGTAATTGTGTGGCCAATAGTATTTAGATCCCGTTCTCCAAGACCCTCCATGTTTGTCTACCAGTAAAAAATGCAAGCAGTCCTCGACGATACTTTCGTGGATTTTACTAATACTTACGTTATCATTTCAGGGGAAGAGCTCGAGAAAAGTGTGAAGAGCGAGGCTGCGACTCGAGAAATTATCCCACATGGAGCACCGACGGGCCAACGCGTGAGAAAAAGCAAAACCCCGTATGCGCAGCAAAGTTTTTTCTGCGCCGAGTGTGGCAGAGGTTACAAGTACATGAACTCACTGACTCGCCATCAGAATACCGAATGCGGCTTGCAACCTAAGCACCTCTGCATTGTATGCGGGAAAAAATTTTACCGACATTGGGAGCTAAGAATACACAAAAATGTTAAGCATCATTAATTTGCGCGAGCACCCTATGTAAGGCTATTTCAATAAATTTTCTGTATGCAGAAAGAAAAAGAGAGAGGGAGAGAGAGAAAAAACAATTGTTTACTTTTTTTTGTTGCTTTCGATCTCGATGGTTGTTATCACGTGTCAGGCAAAAAAGTACAGTCACAATGACGATTACCAGTTAACGCAGTCGCTGTGCTTGCAAACACAATTAGCACGTTATAAGAGAGACACAATATTCACTCGGCAGTGCGTTCTCCGTATTCTTTGAGGTATCGATTGTCATGGACTAAAATACAATGCTTTCAAATTGCCGCAATTTTGGCGAATGAAAAAAAAAAAAAAAAAAAAAAAAAGAAGATCCGCTGCCATGACAAAGAGAGAGAATACGGGGAACGCCATGGTCGGCGCTTCGCGAGCCCTTTCGCCGCCCGATCTAACCCCACGTGCTCTGCTCTCTTTTGCAGAAGACACGATGCTGACCAGCGTGTGGCTGGCCGACGCCACCGACGAGGACAACGTCGAGCACCCCCAACAGCAGCAGCAGCACGAGGTCGAGGCCGTCCTCGACGACCCGATGGTGCCCGAGCAGTTCCTCGAGGTCGACATGAACAACTTCTACCTGCCCACGCCCCCGGAGAGCAGCGAGCTCTGGCAGGAGAACTTCCTCGCGGCGAGCGGCAGCAGTCTGCAGACCTTCAGCTCGGTCTCGGGGGCGGCCGCGGGCAGCGGGGGTGGAGCAAAGATCGGCAAGCCGGTTCGGGGCAACGCCGAGCGGCGCTTCTACTGTCCGAGGTGCGCCAAGGCTTTCTCGCGCACAGACAGTCTGCGCCGCCACGAGAAGCTCTACTGCAGGAGCAACCGGGAGTCGGAGCAGCCGGCCAAGAGGGAGGTGGTTAAGAAGGATGGGGTAAAGAAGGAGGCCCTGAAAAAGGAGCCCAAGCAGAGGCTCGCCACGGCGCCGTCCTGAGGCAAGGGGCGCCGGCGCCGGGGCAAGCGTGGGCGGGCCGAGCCGCAACAGGTGGCCTCCGCGTAAACCATCATTCATATACTCTCTCGCGTCGGTGTTTAATTTTTTTTTTCCTTTTTCTTTTTCATTTGTTTTTCATTTTACTTTTCGTTTGCCGCGAGTCCTCGCTGGAGCGGCCCGTTTTGGGTCAGTGTGTGTGAGCTGTATCGGCTGTCGGGCTTGTTTCAAAAATATCACTTCGTCGCTTCGATTTTACCAACGAGAAGCAATGTTTTTGGTGAACACGGGAGTTTTGATGGTTGGCGATATTGTAAGTGCGGTTAAGCGTGGGTTTTTTTTTTTTTTTTTTTTTCGATTTGGTAAAGATAAGAGGCATCGAAAAAGATTCTTTATTTTCGGTAAGAGATGTTAATTTCGAAATTTGATAAAATGTATTGGAAAATACGACTGTGGCTGTTTGAAGAATTGTACATTTTTTTTTTTTTTTTTTTCGACGTTATAGATTTTTATTTTTTGATTGAGATTTTTTTTTTTATACTTATGGCTATCTTTGAACCCATGTACATATATTTATACATGTGCATTTTTACACATTGCTCAGAACTTTTTATGACTCTGCGTGCATATTAATTAATTACATCGATATACAATAGTATAGGTACAATTTGAAAACGTTACTTTTGGCCTTTCTCAACAAAGTTAAAAATTATTTAACCACGTCACGTTTACGTCTAGGATTATGTTTATGTGAAAATGTCTCCAATGAAATAATTTTTTCAGTAAATATCAGGAGTTTTGCGATAATTGTTATTTTCATTATTTACTTTTGATTTGGCCAATAAGATGTTTGTTGAAAAGTTGTAATTGCCTAAAACTTATGTAGTGATATAAAAGAGTGATACAAATTTTTGCTAAAATATACCTGAATGCGTTGAAAATTACCAGAGTAAATAGTTGAATAAAAAAATGTTTCTAAAAAAATGTTTAATATTTAATCACAATTAGCTATTGTGATTTTTATAGTTTTATTACAAATCGAGTTATTCAGTCATTGAAAAGCCATGAATAATTTATATGTGTGTATACTATCAACGCATCACTAAAGATCCTATAGCAATTACTGTTGTTAAGTATGTGGATTCACAAGTATGTTACGATTGTTTAAAATATAAGAATTTTACAGTAGTTAATTATTGACGTAGAACAAAGTGAACAGTCAATAATAAAATGTTAAAAATTAACTGTATTTATTGAAAAATAAAAAATAATTTAAAAAAATTTTAACCCCTGTTAGCATTAGTAAATGATTTTTGTATTTGCTAGTAAATGTGTTCAATGAAATTTAGAGTTTTCCAGTAAATATTAAGATTATCACAATGATTATTNAAAAAAAAAAAAATCGAGAAGCAGAAGTAAAATAAGCAAAGCCCACAGGTTACAGCTGTCTGACAAGAGAAGCTGCCACGCTTGATAAGTATTAAGTATAGAAAAGTGGATGGTCCGAAATTTGCACACCATCAAAAACACAATTAAAATCAAATAAAAAAAATAAAAAAATGAATAACACATAGTATGAAAAAATTTTTTTAACTGATTTGCTACGAGGAAGAAAAATTACAACTTTTACCCCCGAATATGGAAAAGATATCTGGAGACGTGGTTGATATATGATTACAGTTCATCGTAGAACACGTGCCTCATAAATCATTGACGACATTTTTTTTTTTCAAACTGTGCAAAGCTGATTTTAAGTCGACTTACAGAGCATCCAATAATCGTTCAACCATTAAAAAAAAAAAAAAAAAAAAAAAAAAAATTGTAATAATTTTTCTTTTCATTTATTGTTACAGCCCAACAACGGAATTGTCTTTTCTCCATTGAAGTGCATCACAAGTATCAAGCAAATACCGAGTTACAATTCACACATTATTTCATGTATCACAGTAAAGTTATTGAAAAAATACACAAAGGCCTTATACATGTGGAATGAAAAAACAAAAAAAAAAAAAATTCTCATGCATATTTTACTCATTTTAACATCGATCCAATAATCATGTGGAATCGATTATAAATGTCACAAACAAACCACGTCCTACTCTACATAAGATAAGCCATAAAAAAAGATGTGTTTAAACTAATGCAACAACCATCTGTTTTAGACTCAGAGGACAGCAGTTTGGAGGTACGTGATCCCCTAGACACCCAAGGATGGATGCCCCTGTCCGGCGTCGGTTACCGCATATCCAAGGAAAACTCGGACGCAGTGAAATACATGTGCGCCCACTGCGGCTATGCATTTCACCGTCTCGGCTACTTAAACAGTCACGTAAAAATCTGCAGCCAGATCAACCAACAGCAGCTGCACCAGCAACAACTGCAAGAGCAACACTGGCAGCAGCAGCACCACCACCAGCAGCAACAGCAGCGCATGGAGTCGATGTGCTTCGTCTGTCACAGCTGCAAAAAGGTTTACCTGAGCAAAGCGAGCTTAAGCCGACACAGGAGGTCCAATTGTCCTGGAGCCAAGATTGCCGTCTGCGGCATTTGCGATGTCGAGTTTTCCTGCTTGAATGACATGCTGCTCCACAAGGAGGAACACTTCAGGGACAAGCCCACGATTTAAAGGGGCTGCATTTTTTCTTTTTTTTTTTTTTTTCATTTCAACTATTAATCGTTATTACGTTGTATTTTATGTATTTCCGTGATTTATACTCGATAGTGTGAAAAGTTGTAGTTATTCCAAAGTATTTCATCGGTGGTTTTTACTCAAACATGTAATCCGGTTGTCGAGAAACATTTTTTTTTCTTCCAAAGTTCCTTAAAAGTACACCTTAAAAGGTGGAAACGATCAAGTCGTATTTTGTTATTTTTTGGTATTACTTTTTTTTTGTTATTACATCTCACAGTGCAGAATTGACAGAACTCAGTTACGTCAATTCGTAAAATTCTCCAATTAGAAAAGTTGTCTGATCTCTTGTGAAAATAGCTTCCCACTTACAGTTTTTATGTAAGAATCCAGTTCCGTCGAGTAACATTTTTTCATCATCAGCATTGAAATCTCGAATCATATAAAATGCCACACTGTTAACAATTCAGTCAACGTAATAATTGATGACTTTCGAAAAAAATGTAGCATGTCGTTTTGTGTGAATGAATAAATATACAACCAAACAAGCTAATGTAACTTACGTACCGTAAATCGTATTATGACTTTCCAAAAATATTATGGTACTCGCTGATTTTTCAAAAACCATTTGTTTGATATGACGATATTTTCAGTGCCAATATAATAGAAAACAACGAAAATATAATATATAGCAAAACGTTCCTTGTAGTTATTTCGTGACCCCCTCCCCCCCAAGACTATGGTACTCTACTCCAAAGTATCCTCTTGATTAGTTTTATTATTTAAAACAACTATACTATTTGTAATAACTAGTCGTTGCATTTGATGTTATTCTTTGAGTAGCATAAGACACTGCAAAAAATGGTGTAAGTATTTATCAAGAATAACAAGCGTAAGACCACTATCCTATGAAAACCTAATCGTTGAAGCTCGAAGGAGACAACGACACTCGTACGACAGTCGTAAATAACTCGCCTCGCTAACCCACGAATTTTTGTTTGTTTGTTTTCTCCCTTCATAGGCGGCTCCTTGCTGCAACTGACCAAGCCCATGTACGACCCGCTCCTGTCCCTGCAAGAGCTCAAAGCCGACTCGATCGCCATCAACGCCCCTGGCACCTCCAAACCTCATCAACACCACCAACAACCTTCGAGCGGTTACCCCCAACTGGTTTATGAAGAGTTAACTCCCATGATGATCAATCAGCAGCTGCTCTTCCAGCAGCAGCCGCACTTGCTTCATCACTACGCGTGCTCGGATTGTGGGAAAAGCTACAAGTGGCAGGACAGCTTGAAGCGACACAAGAGAGTCGACTGCGGGAACAAAGTGCGAAAGTACGAGTGTACCTTTTGCCATAAAAAGTTCAAGTACAGGTACGAAATGAAGAACCATCTCGTCAAGTGCCACGAGAAGTCTGCGGCTTACCGTGACAATGAGAGCATGTAAATGTAACACACCTCATAATAGAGCTTATCGTGATGATAAACAGGGTATATATATATTACAGTAGTTTTTGTTTTTTGTTATTTTTGTTACAAAAATTTTTTTTCCCTCCATAATTTATTATTAAAAATAAAGGGTGTATAGTCATTTATTTAAATTTAAAGCTATAAGAGTTGCTAATATTTATATGTTAAAAAAAAGATTATTATCTACATCTAGTAAGTAATCCAATTAAAATTGTTTATTGTACTTAAAACAATACATTCTAATAAAAAGGCCGTTTGAAAATTAATGTGAAATTTTTTTTTGGTACCAACTGCCCAAATATTTGTGTACACCTTTAACATTTTATAAACCTCTTTTCAGTTTTATGTAACAACTGTTATCATAAATAATACATTTATAAAAATATTTTTCAATACTTATTTAGAATTTTATTTCCAGTTATCCTTTATTCAACAATATTTTATTAACAAATTGATATTTTTGTTTTAGTTTAGTTGGATATCAATGCCATATTCCATGCATCTTTGATATTTGAAATATGAAAATGATGCGTCTGTATTTATTGTGATGAAAAAAATAATGCATGACTCGTTCTAAGGACTAAACTGGATACATAAAGGGAATCTCAAAAATACAATGGATTTAATTCTGGTGGCATACATTGATGCTATTTTTTTAAATTATTGTTTGGACATCAATAAAAGAAAAAGTTGATGAACCATTTTTTAAACTAATTGTGCTTTCTTTTATACATATGCATAATCTTTTTTTTGTTTTTTATCAGTATTTTGTTGTAAAACATTTATTAAATAAAATTTAATAAAAAAAAAAAAAAAATAAAAAAAATCAATCACTGCGGTACTGCAATTGATAGAGTGCAATGTGCTTTGTATTTCAGGAATACACATTTTTGGTGATTGGTGTTTATTATTGCCGCTTATTATTGTTTGTATATATTTTCACATTTTACATATTGATTTTATTTATAATTGTTACCTCAATGGTTTTCATCCTTCATAGAAAAAAGGCAGTTGAAAATGTTTCTGTAACTATTAAATAATAAGAAAATACTACCAAATGAATGGTACAGGATTTTCATATATCAATCATAAAATGAGCAAAAACTTTTGATGTACAGGTTTCTTAGTTTTATACTGTTGCTTCTTCTACAGTCATCGGTTTTAGTTGAAAAATTATTAATCGATATGAAAAAAAAAAAACTACTAAATAAAAATAAAAAGTAGTATGGATGGATTTTTTGTTAATAGAATATTATAAACCTTCATACCATGGAGTGCAGTTAAAACTAATTATTTAGAAAAAATAAAAAAATTTCTTTGACAAAAAAGCATAAATCCTCATCCTTTTACCTACATTTTAAAAATAT